GGGGGGGGGGGGGGGGGGGGGGGGGGGGGGGGGGGGCGCACAGCGGCCGGCCAGCGAGGGGCGTGGATCATGTCCGGGCGGGGCGCACACACACACACACATGGCCAGGCCGCCCGGCGGCAACTCGGGCATGTGGTGCCCTCTGGGTGCTCGTCGGCCCGGTGTCCCGGGCATGACCCGGCGCGGGGCTTTTCGTGCGGCTGCTGGCGCGACGGCGTGGCCGGCGGGTCCTTGGGGCCAGGCACGGGGGCTGGGCAGCACGTCAGGGGGGGGGGGGTGCTCCCGAGAGGGAATTGTCGGGGACCAGGAGGGGCAAGTGCCCATGCCGGGGCGCGGAGTGTGCTGGCGGCTTGTCGGTGTCCTTGCCATGCAGGTGGTGGGGGTGACTGCCCGCGTGCGGGACGCGGGTGTCATGGCGCGGCGGGCGCGCGCGTGCCCGCATGCGATGGAGGCTGGGGGGGGGGGGGCGGCAAATGGAAGCCCGCCGGGGGTAGGTCGGCGCCCGGGGTTTGTGGGCGGGGGAGCCCTCCGTCCGGGGGAGTCGGGCTGGGCGCATGCCCGCGCGTGGGCATCCCACCGATCGCGTTTGTGTGTGTCCGCCCAAACCGGGTCGGGACTGGCGCATCTCCCTCCGCCGGAAGGCGGGCCGATATGCGCGGCATTTTTAATGACCACTTTTGTTGCCCCTGGGGGGAATGGTTGTTGGCACATTCGTTGGCTGTGTATTTGTGTGTGTGTGTGTGTGTGTGTGTCTGTGGGACCCGGGGAATATCCTGCCAAGCTCGGATGGGGGGGGGGCGTGTTGGGGCCGTGGTCATCGGGGCGGTCGGCCCTGCAACCGGGCTCATGCGGCTTCCTCCTGCGGCCCCATGCCCGCCTTTTGGGCGAGGGGGGGGGGGGGGGGGGCGGGGCCGCCAGTGGCTGGCATCCAGCGGCACACGGACACGGGCCGGGATCCGGCGGGCTCGGTGTGGCGGCGAGCCAAGCACGCCCGGCAGAGGGCGGGTGTCCGCCGACTCTGCCCCCGCCCCGGGCCCTTCAGTGTCTCTGGCCCTCCGGCGTGCTGGGCCACCACCTGACCCCCGAGTCAAGGGGCCCGGTGGCGGGCCGCCTGGATGTGGCGACCGGGGCAATTCCCCGCCACCGCCTCTCGGTTTGCGGCTTCCCTTGTTCATCCCTCCTCCCGCCCTCGCTGCCTGCCTGCCTGCCTGCCTCCCTCCAGGGTCCTGCGTTTAGATGGCGCGAGAAGAGCCGGCCGTCGCCCGGCGGGCGCCCCCGCACGCGGACGCCCGCCCGACCGGACGTCAGAATGCCCAGTCTACGGCCTCGACGGCGGCTGCGATGCCACCGGCCCCGGCCCGTTCGACTTCCAAGCGGCCGAAGGCTGCGCCAGGCACCGCGTTGCCGGCCGAGCCTGGCACCGTTCCGTCGCCGGACGGGCTCCCTGGGAAGGCGGGCGCGCCGGCGCTGCCCGGGAAGCCGGCCGCAAAAAAGGCCT